TAATATAAGAGGAAGGATGCAACAAAAAATAAGTAACTGTAAATTCTGTAATTTCAGAAGGTGAATTATACATTTACGCGCACATAGCTTTAGCAACTCAATGTTTATAATAATACAGGTTAGGCTAACGCTAAATATTCGATTTTTATCAAATAATTTTTTTGTGTGAACATTAAGCAAAATTATAGTATACCCATGTCTTTACTGACTACATCAATGAAAGGGGTAAAAATTCTTTATGATCGCAATTAATTTTTCAAACCAAAAAATAAGTCTAAAAACGAATGCGATTATAAAGGTTATAAAAAGGTGACTGATAATTTGTCCTACAGATTCGTTTCTGTATGATTAAGATTGGGCTTATAACCCTTCAATAACAACTTAAACAGGTAAGTAAAATTGCCAATCAGCGTTGAGATTATTTGGTTGGAAATTGATATTAACAATATAAAACATCGACATTGACCGATGGAAAAATATGTTACTTTTTATTGGGCTAAGTACATTTCCCAGACATGAACTGAGTTCGACATTGAGATTGTGATTCTCAAGAAGACTTTGTAGACCCAGCTCCCTAACGTGGCACATTGTATTATTGATACCTCCTTTTTATTTCCAATTGAGTCGTATTTATGTGCTCGAGCAAGTCACTTTTTGCACAAAAATAATGTTATCGCTGTCTTGATGTCTCCCAATTATGCTTAGCCCTTCTACGAACTTCACTACAGAAAAATCCACTAAACTTTCAGAAGAAAACTGGCGGATGCAGTGCCGTCTCCACATCCCCTTTTGCTTCCTTCAGACATTCGGTTGTACACCGATCAAAATTAAGTTCGTCTGATTGATAAGCAATACCAATAACAACAAAATACACCTGGATACAAAATTTATCCTACGAGAGTTGAATTCATGTAGTTGTTTTCTTTTGCAATTCTATGTCGAGCGTCCTTAGCACCTTAGGTAAACGTTGTTAGGCATGAGGGTCTATTATTAGACAAAATGGAAAAGCTTATCCACAAAACGACTTTGCTCTTCAAGTCAATAAAAGTCTTTAAGATAGTGTTGAACACATGAATAACTTTGCTACTTTTATGAATGTAACATCTGCATTCTCGCTTATTATTTGCAGAGCCAACAGAGTAGGCACTTAAAGCAAATCAAGAGTAAGGGTTGGAGCAGATTAATCTCCTTTTCCTTTTGTTCTAACGAAATCTTATTAAAAGGGACTACTGTGTGATTCTTCGCACCTACCGCTGCGCGATTCAATGGGATATCACTCTACATTTCAATCAGATAAACACAAGACTTTATATTCAGATGGAGTCGGTCAAGGTCATTCCCATAGCAGGAAGCAACAATGATGTGAATCAAAGCTACCCCACGAAGGCTTCCAAGGGCAAAAAAAAACTACAAACACAGTAGAGGCTCCAAACACGTGATCAAAGCTGGTCTAACGCGATGTAGTGTTCACAAACCTTGAAGGTTTTGGAGATAACATTTATTTCTCTGAAAATCCTCTTGCAAATAGGACGCATATGTACCGACAGGCTCTGCACACAGTGTGACTCTCACCGATGTGATAGCTCACACTTTTTGCCTATTTTTTTCAGATCCCTAAATAGTTCTTCATTATAACTTACATTTACTTGAAAGTCTGAGACTTTCAATTAAAATGCTCAAAAAATGACGAAAACAACTATTCCATTAAGAATTGAAGGCAGTCTCCAAAAGACTACGACGATTTGTAGCGGTACACCACCTCCAGTAACGAGACATAAAAGCATTTATGCGAGATAAGAGCAAAATACTAACATAAAGTACCGCGTTCAGATACGGCGTAACGCACATTGTGTGTTACCATTAGCAACAAGATTGCTCACAGAATGTCAGGATAGTCATGTAGTCATCCTCATTATTATCAATCTAAAAAATAGTGGAAAGCAGGGTAAGACACACAATAGAACTCTATTTCGATTAAAATCGATAACAAATCGGACGGCAACACATCACAGTTCAGTAGACGATAAATCCTCACAGTGTGTCAACATATGATACGGGAAAATGCATTTAAAAAAAATTTTAAAGGAAAAGGAAGAACATCAAAGACATTATGATAAGTTCATCAGAGGTGCTAGTCTAACACCCTTCGGTTTGCATATTGCTTTTTTAAAATTCACAAAGGACAACTTTATTTTCCTAAAGTTAGATAGCATATACAGTAATAAGACGCCACTAAGGAAGAACAATATCGTGATTAGTAAAATTTTACTTCTAAAACATTTACATGAGAACAGCGAAAGACAACAGCTACTGCCTAATTTAAAAAGACACATCGTATTTAAGTGTAACTATTTCACAGGCAAATATAGCATTTCATTTTTGACACATTAAACAATGCCCAAAACGAAAGAAAATGGAAGAATGACAAATTAGAATAATTAATCAATATAAAACCTCAGAATAACATTTCACACAGTATAGAATTCAAAAACTAAAAATTTAGTAAAATGGCAAAGCTACAAGTAATAGTCCATACTTGACATAAAGCAAGCAATTAAAGAAATTCTATTGAAATAACAATAAGAATATTTAAAAAAAAAGAAAAATCAATCACATGTAAGCCAAAAGCAACTAAAAAAAAATACAAAAAGAGCGAATAGCAAAAAAATATAGAAAAAGGAGATACTTATAAAAAAAAGAAAAGCACCAAATCAAAAACTTCAAGAAAGCATAGAAATTAAAGCAAATAGAATTCCAGAAGAAAAATGAATAATAAACAACACTGCTAACGAAAAAATATATAAAAAAACAATAGAGAATAAAAGTTAAGCGAGTATTCTCTGCTAGCATAACTACAGCGATGGTCCAAGGAACACGCTTAGTTAAGACACGCACCCGTGAGGCTGCGCGGCACACGTAGCCCACTAGGGGTCGTAGCTTTGCCCCCGATAAACCTAAGGCCACATAAACCGCGATCACGTGAGAATCGCGACGACGGAGCTGCCTCACTTGCACACCGACTCTCCCTCAATGTGAGAGCCGGATGCGGAAGGTGGGCCCTCAATCAAACCCAACGGCAGAAACGAAGTCGGCCATCCAGGTCAATTCCAAACGCAGCTCTTGACTTGCTAAGTAAAAGTTATACTAATCCAGCGGGAACCGAAGAAAGATGGAGGGGGGGAGGGGAGGACGAGGAGAGTACTTGAGTCGTTCAGAGAACAGCGAAATTTTCACATCCGATGATAGAACATAACTGACAGGACAGACGGCCGTCACAAAGACGGTGCTGTTCGCACGCGCCCAGTGAAGTGAAACTTGACAGCTCTTAGTTTTAAAATGAAAAAGACGTTTT